AAGCGCTACTGAGGGTTCTAAGGTTTTGGGTTCTGAGGTTCCCGGCCTGAAGGGGTTTGGGTTGAGGGTTGGAGGGCTGACCAGTTCCTCGGAGTTCAGTCGAATTGCATCGTCACAAGTGGGGTAACGAGAGGTTTCATAGGTGGTAACCCTATGTGGGGGATCTGTAGGTGCGGAATCAGGGCAGGCTGCGCGCATCCACTTACGCACATACACGCACTCGCTTAACTCGCGTCGCTCGGTTATTTTACGCATCGATCCGCGTCCACATTGGGGAACTGCATTCCCCAGAGTATTTCTCTTGATGTGTCGAAGTCGGCCTCGTTGTCATCGATCGGCGTCCACATTGGGGAACTGCATTCCGCAGGGTATATCTCCTGCTGCGTCGAAGTCGGCCTCGTCGTCATTTGCACAGCATCTACATGGTCTACACATCGATCGGCGTCCACATTGGGGAAGCTGCATTCCGCAGATTACATCTCTGGACCGAAGTCGGCCTCGTGCAGGCTTCTACATGCCTTCGGGAGTTGCGAGTTAAGCAACGGACGATTGCCGGGGGTGGTCTCGGTCACCCTGATCACCGCCGCAACAACTCGACGACCAACCCTCCGGCAGTTTAGGTTTAATCGAAGATAGTTGATTTTCTAGCGTCTCACTGGTGATTAGCTGTCGAAACATAGTGAAAATACTAACGCCGGCGCCCGCAGCAAATCCGGCAGTTGTCACCCATGCTGGCTGTTTGTTTGAATTCCAGCGTCTCCTTGGGGATTGCTGTGTCCTGATGTGTAATTCCATCGTTGTGGGGTGATGTGTATTTCTCGCGACCTGATGTGAGAAAAGCCCACCGCTAGTAATTTGGAAGGGGACCTCTCAGGCTTGGGTTTGTTGTGTCTGTTAAGGGTGTGCAGGGTTGAGGGTAGGTGCTCAGGGGTTTAGTTGGGGTTTGGAGTTTTGTGTATCAGCACACCATGACAACCCCACGACAGCCCCTGCGAGGCATCGGGTGCTACGCAGACAGTGCTGGACGCCCTGAAGGAGAGTATCAGTTACATGGTCTCGACCTTCCTTGCTAAGCTCCCTAACATTGTAGGGTTTCGGGCCTAAGGACACCCAGACCAAAACCTTTCCTCACACCCGATGTCGATGTGAGTGTGGCCGCTGCGCATCCCAGAAGAATTCCGAGCTGGCGAAAATTGCGGCTACGCTGCTTAGAAGCCCCAGTTTCAACCCTCAGCCTCTCTAAACCCCTAAGACCAGCAAACACTTCTAACTCATGAACTGGACGTTCAGCGTCTTCGGACCTTCAGGAGTTCGACGGGGAGTTCCAGGACAGCAGGGAGCTCTCCTCAAACCCCTAAACCCCCAGGACCCCTAGATCCTAAGCTCTCCTAAGCCTTAAGGGCTTAGGGTTGATGATCCATTGGCAAACCCTTGTCCCTCAACCCAACCTCCCCAAACCCCGAAGCCCGGACCTTACGCCCTCACCCCTATCGGACCGTGAGCCACCAACCTCAAGTCAAGGCCTGAAGCCATTGAGGTCTCGGGATGTATGGCTTGGGGTGATTTCGGGTTTGGGGTTCTAGAGTTCAGGTTTCAGGAGTCTAGGATTCTTGCACAGCCTCACATGGAAGCTGCGCAGCCAGGAGCCATTTGATCTCCTTGGAATCGAGGATCCGGAGTGCACAAAGAGCCTTGCTGGCGTTGGAGATGCTTATGGGCTCAGGGTTTAGGGGGCTTTGGCCCGCAGGGCTGTGCGAGAAGGTGTTAACTCGGCCCAGGCCCACACTAACCACGCCCTGAAGGTTCTACTGGTGGCTTATTTCAAGAACGCTGGTTAGACACGTTGTTGGAGTTGGTTGAAAGGCACGCCCACTTCAGGGTTGAGGGCTGTAGGGTTGCAGTGTTTAGGGTCCCTAGACCCGGAACTCTTCTTCCAGACTTCAGAACTGTTGAATCTGGAGTCATTGCTCAGGAAGGAGATCCGCGCTGCATTCCGCAACATCGCCAGGCTTCTGGGACTAGTACAAAGGGGTTGGGGAAACCGAAGAGAGTTGGACTACGGATATCATAGGCCCCCAGCCTCGATTAAGCCTCGTCACCATCCGACACAACTGGGGCAGAAGCCTCACGGCATGAACAGAACTTTTCAGGGTTTAGGGTGCTTTAGTCACGCGACATGTGAAATCTGGAGGACCCTGCAGTTTAACGTGCGATCTCCAACATGCCCGCAAGGGTGTATTACTAGTATACTGTAGGCTAGAAATAATCTCAGCTTCTCAAGACACTATCTATATTATACATTTTCGTATACGGCTGAGGCTCAGGCTAGAAGCCCCTGCATTCCATTTTCTGGCCACAGTCGAAGGAGATGTCTCTGTCGGAGTCGGAGTCTAAGGCCTATGATGAGGGCACTGAGGGCACGGAGGGCACTGAGGGCACTACGGCCTCCGATGGCCTTTCCCTACCTCGGACTGACTCAGGCAGCTCCGAGGCTCTGAGCCCAAGGCCGCCAGTGCCCACGGCCTGGAGCGCCGAGGACGTGGACCGGCTGCGCATGAAGTTCGACTGGATTGCCAGGCACCTCGGACCAGTCCCGGAACTTCCGATGTCACAAGGGACGGCAACCCTCAGTCTCCGACTGGCACTACGGACGGGCACTGCGAACAAGAACCCGAAGGGGCCAGGGCCACGAGCTGGCAAAGATCACATCTTCAAGAATGGGCGCCTGACTCACTACATGCGGGTGCTGGTCCATGGGACAGATGGCCGGCCCCCGGCGTTTCCACAGCTGAGGCAGCCGGATTTGGAGACCTTTGCCAGCAGCGACGTCTGCTTCGACTGCACCGGTGCGGCTGTCTGCCCGCAGGTGTGCGTCGGGTCGACGACCATCCTGCTCTTCACGAAGCATCGATATCGCCCACACCAGCAGATTTCCTACAACTTTACCGATGCGATGCCTGCCCGACCGACCCATGGCCGTGGGCCGCAGACGTTCCTCATGGCAGTGGACGATGAAGTCGATGCGAGCGGCGAGAACCCATTCGTGGCAAGTCTGATGGACGAAGTTCGGCGATGCTGCAACGCCGAGGTTTGGTACCAAGAGGTGGGGGCAGCAGAGCTCCGATGAGCGCAGAGCCGATTCGCCCTGACAGCTCCCGTCGCCGTAGCATACCGTAGCTGCGAATGCCGTGTGGCGATTGCCGCCCTTGGACTCGGGGCCGGACTTTTGCAGGAACCCATCCTGAAATTGCAGAAAAGAAAAAGTAAGACCCTGGAGAGTTGGAGTTCACTTTCAACTTGTTGTGATTGAGGTGAGCATTTACGAGCTACACACGACAGACTTCATCGCTTTTCTATTCCAGACTGGGCACTTCCTTTGAGGTGTCCTGTTCCCGTGGCTTGTGTTCGAGTTCGCGGGCTTGTACATGGACGTCTGCATGAGTGGGGAATAGAGGTTCAGGGGCCAGGGAAAGCAGATGCAGGAAAAGCATGACTCTGTGCACAGACAACACCACTTCCTTCCCTTTTTTAGCTTTAGATCTTTCCCTCATCCAGACTCGAGTTGTCGCGAAGGTCCACATGGTATCGGAGAATTTGTTGGGGTGCAGAGTAGGACCCAGAAGCCCATGGAGTGCCCAGAGTGACCACCCTATGTAAACCCTCAGACAAACACCCAGACTTCAGACCCTAACACGTCCCGAGTCCCAACCTTAATTCCATACACGTAAGGGGGTGGGTTTAGGGTTTGGGGTTTGCGTTTTAGGTTTCCGGGTTTAGGAACCCACAGCCGCACCGTGGCCCCGTGCCCTGAACCAGGGTGGAGCATCCCGACGTCTCCGAGCGCGAGGACGCAGCCTTAGCTTCCCACCAGCCCTAAACACCAAGCCACCAAGCCCAAAACCCTGAACCCCAAAGCAAGCACCGAAGGCCCACAAGGCCCCACGGGAACCGCAGCCCGGGGTTTAGGGTTCAGGTTTTAGGGTTTAGCATAAAAGGGGGTTCAGTATGAGGGTTTGCGGCCCCCAAGCTACATGAAACCGAAACCCCGGAAGCCCCGAACCTTCGGAAGGGCAGGGAGAGAGCCGCAGCTTCGGAGGTTACGGGCCAAGCCTGGGCTCAACCTCCAGGGCTTTAGTTTTCAGGGTGGAGAGTTCAGAGTGTGGGGTTTCGGTTTAGCTGGAAGCTGGGTTCGAGGGGCCGGACGATGACCCAGGCCGAAGAGTTTAGAAGGTAGTGAGCCGCACGGGCTTCGGGTTTGGGGTTTAGGATTTCCATATTCGTCTCAATAATATGGAAACCATATTCGTCGGCTATCGCGTTCTTGAATGTAGTCACTCAACACCAACACCTGAGTTCAATCGTGCTGCTCTGCTTGGGGGCCCCGGCTAGCCTCTGTTTCGGATCCGTTTTACTTTTGTTGTTTTGGTCTCCTACTTGGTTTCTGAACCAAAGGGCCTACAATTTTTCTCTACCCTGTGCAGGATATCCGTACTCGCTTATGAGCCCCCCCATTACATGATAGTGACCTGGATTCTTCTGGCATAATTCTTAAATGGGTGCAAGTTTTGAGATTGTATGAAGCTTTGGTTATAGATATTTTTGGGGGTGGTTGAAAGGTACACACCTTGCAAAGTTACTAGGCAGGCTAACACTTGTACGAGAAACCCCTAAACCCCCTAAGACCCATAACCCCAAGTCCTAACCCCATACCCGAAACCCATTGCAACGTGGCTACGTAGGTTGTAAGTAATTACCTTGGACTTCCTGACTCGGCGGGGCGGGCTTCGCTTTGGTGCTCTACTGCCCTGTTCTTTCGGTGTCAGGGCTGGCAGTGTTGGGTTTTGAAACCCCCAAAACCCTGAAGCGTCCCAGTGACGTCGTCGCCGTTTTCAGGAGGGTACAAATCCCTCCATGCTTAGGCCCAGGGCTTGAGAGCCCAAGATTCATGCTTCGAGATCTGCCCGCATTGGGTGGTAAGGAGACCAACACAGGATTTTGAGATGGCGCGAGCTTGGCAGGGGCGTCCTGATTTGGCACCACTGACGCTTGCCGTACTCTGGGTGTTTCTGAGCTGCACTTGAGGAGCACGAGTTTAGGGTTTTGGAGGTTCAGGGTTGCAGGGGGTTTAGAGGTAGCGGAGTTTAGAGTTGTTTCGGGCGTTTTGGAGTTCTGTGGCATGGTGTCCATAGTAAGGAAGCCGAAAACATGACCCCATGTCATTCTCATCACTGCAACTTAATTTAGGTCCCTTGAGAAGCAGCAGCAGCAGGTGTGTGGCTTCATTTCTCCTGCTCATTGGCGCTGCTGGTCTCGTGCTTTCCGCATATAGCGATCCAAACTCGAGTCAGGAGCACGGAGTGTGGTTGCTGATGTGTGCAGGCCTCCTCATGCTGACCTGCGCGTCCACCCAGGCATGTCAAGCTGGTCCTCCATGCTGTTGGAGCTGTTGGCAGCGAGATCCCGAAGGAAAGAATGTGAGATGCATGATTGGGGCACCCTTCAAGTTCAAGGACTTGGGGGCCGAGGTGTCCACTTTCTCTGAGATCTACATCCGGCCAGATCGAACAACGGTCACGGGGAGCCCTTACCCGGCTCCTTCTACTAAGGTGGTTCCGAACAGCGCCTGTGTGTGCTGCTTGGCCAGCTTCGCGCCGAGAAGCCAGGTGACTGTGTTGCGGTGCGGGCACGTTTATCACAGGGAGTGCATCTTGCCCGCAAGATGCCGCAAGCGACATATGTTTCGCCCCTGCTCTGTTGACAAGCTAGTCGCTCCTCTGTCTAGTTGCAATCGAACCCTACATGCAAAACCCTAAACCCCAAACGAGGCTGTGCACAACAAGCGATGTAGCGAAAAAACACCAAGGCATCGTGCGCTGGTCCCTCTCGGGTTCTTCGTCTGCAAGTGAATGCCCAATCTGCCGTGAAGGATTTGAGCTGCTGAGCGTCTGAACTGGCCTTCGTGGGTTTAAGGCCTGTAGGGTTTTTACAATGTATTCATCAATCTTCTTTGGAGGTGAGAGCTCCTGGCAACGCTTGGCTAGGGTGTGTCGTAAATCCTAATCCCCTATGCAGTACAGCTTCGCTGTGTTTTCTTTCAATCTTCTTTGGGCATTAGAGGGTTTTCAGAGGTTTTTTTACTTTGTGTTTATAGGGGGTTGAGGAGCCTCTCCTCGTCTCCATCTTTTGGCAGACTGTGCGCTTGCCGAGCTTAAAGCACACAGCTGCTTGTTGCAGCCATCGGCCGCTGAGCGAACAGTAAGGGACAACCCGGCTTATGGTGAGGGTGTAGGACAACACCACATGTAAAGGAAGGGGGGTTAGGGGGTTAGGGTTTGGGAATTAGGTCGGGAGAGCCCGGGCGAAGCTCTCGCAAGCCCTCCACGACCGAAGAACTCTACACCTAAACGCAATCCCTCTGCCGCTTCCTTTGGGCGAGTACGGCCCATGTCCCAAATCCGACGTCTGGGGGCCCTTTGGCTGGAAGATGTACAGTATCAGGGTGAGAGCCCGGGGAAAGGACATGGCGCACGCCGACAAAGGATGGTTCTGCTTGTGGCAACCTCATGTCCTATACTTCCACCACCTCTTCTTAAACTACAGGATGACCTCCCCCGAAACAATGTCTGAAGAGATTATTCCTATTCTTGTTCAAAAAAGGAGCGGTACCCCGAGCCCAAGAGCCGGGATAGAGTTTAGGGTCAGGGGTTGGGATGTTCTCCCTCGTACTAACAGTCCTTAATCGGGATTACAGTACCCCGATTATAATCCCTACTAAGGACGCACAAGGCCCTGACGGGTTCAGGGTTTCGGGTGCTTTGCAAGCAGGACGCGGAGGAGCGTGCGGGCCTCAGGGCTCGGAGCCACGAACCTCTGTGTGGCGAAACCCTGGAATCCCAAACCCTAAACCCTAAACCCTAATCCCAAACCCCAAACCCTAAACACTAAATCCTAATTCCTAAACCCTAATCCCTAAGCCCTACAAACCTTAAACCTCGCCGGAGTGCCACTCCTAACCTGAGCCCTGAAAGAGTGTAGGGTTTTTGGGCTTTGGGGTGTTTTTGGGTTTTAGGGTTCAGTGTTTTATGGTTTGGTCTTTCAGGCTTTATGGGGTTAGGGTTTAGGGTTTAGCGGCCATCGGCTTTGGGGTTCCCCGTCGGACCTCCATCGGTCCTGCTTCCACATGTTGGGCCACCCTTTTACACCTTTGTTTTATGACAGAACCTGTGTTGCGGAACCACCCTATGGGGGGAATACCTAGACCTAAACCCTAAATCCCTGTTAAAAACTCCTGAACCCTATAACCGGCAAATCCCCATGCCCTAAAACCCCAAAATCCCAAAAGCCCTGAACCCCAAAGCCCAAAACCGTGAACCCCAAGTTCTTCGAAGCGTTCACCGAGGCTTTCGCCGCATTTCTTTGGCCTACGAGCTCCTCATTGATGATGGGGGCCGGGCCATGCTACTGGAGGCCAAGAGGTGTGTATATATATATATATTTTTACATATATAATATTGTTAGTATATAAATATATAAATTAATACATGTATACATATATGTATATGTATATACATATATATATATATATATAACATGCATACTCAATCCTACCATACGAAAAAGGTTTACTTGTTTGGCCAGGGTACTCAGCAACTAAAGCAGGGCTCTCGTGTTTGTAGTGGTTTTTAGGGGTGTTAGGGGTGGGTTCAATGGGTTTTTAGGGGTTTAGGGGTTGAATAAGGGTTTTGGGGTTTCTTAAGGGTTTAGGGGGTTTTAGGGTTTTAGGCTTGTGTAGGGGGTGAGGGGTGTAAGTGGGGTTTTTAGGGGTTTTTAGTCGTTAAGGCCTGCAATTAGAGCTTTAGGTTTATATATATATATATCTGTGTATATATATATGTATATATATATATATTACTTTTTCTTATGCTTCAGGGCTTTAGGGGGTTTAAGGGTGTGTGAAGGGTTTACGGGTTGAATTCGGGCTTAAGGATTTTTTAGGGGCTTGGGGCTTGGCGGTTTTAAGGTTTTTTAGAGGTTTATTTGGGGTTTTAGGGTCTTAAGGTTTAGGGCTGTGGGACTTGAGGGGCTTTAGGGGGTTGCACACGCAATAGTTCCCCCCCCTCCCCCCGCCCCGAAGCCTAATACCGTAAAAACCGGAGCCCTACACCCTCAAACCTCAACAACACCCTAATTAAATCCAAAACCTAAACCCCAGCCCTAAACCCTACGGTGGGAGCCTCCTGTCGTCTTCTGCCAGGCCCTGGAGCGAGATGCGGATGACTTGGAGGCATACTTTCCCACCCCACATGTTGCGCTCACACATCCGATGGTTCCCGGAAAAACTCCAGGAATTTCAATCAGAAGCTTGCCGGATCGCAGAAGTGCTCGCCAAACCCCAAGCACGCAAACTTTTGAGCCTAGTCGCTTAAAACACATAGCATGCACCCAAACCCAACCCCCCCTTAATCACCCCCCCCCCCCCCTTCAGGGACTCCAGTTCCCCATGCTCCTTGACATGTAGTTATTTGGTTCCCCAAACGGAATGTCTTGTGGAAGTTTGCGTGTTGGCGGGGTATTGGAGCTGCAGGCACAAAGCCCCAAAACCCTTCTGGCAAGGACTTGGAGGTGAAAAAGAACAGCGTGGACGTCACCAACGAGGCACCCTAGAGGGTTCCCTGTTTGGGGTTTAGGGTTTAGGGTTTAGGGTTTAGGTTTTAGGGTTTAGGGTTTAGGGTTTAGGGTTTAGGGGGATTATGGGGTTTTGGGCTTCTTGTGGGTTTTGGGTTTCTGGGTGTAGAGGTTAGATTAGTGCTTGGAGTGGCTTGGGGTTTCTAGGGTTTAGGGCCCATAGGGTTCATTATGAGGCACAGGGTGCAGCGTTAGGGGTTTCCTAGCTTCTTCTCAAGGACTATATGATGGCAATGTCTACTATCTCTAGAGCCCAGGGCGCTTCGGGTTGGGGATTCAGGGTGGAGAGCCATTCGCATTGACAGCATGATCCTGAATTTCCATTCGCTCTCCCTGTCTCTCTTTCTCTCCCCCCCTTCCTCAGAATCCAGCACCGCAAGCCCTGAGCCCCAAGCCCTGGAAGCAGCGAGCACGTGCCAGAACTGGGACAAGAACTGGGTCGAAGATGAGTGCAGCTCCCAGGAATCCTCCCCGGGGGGGGTTCAGGGGACTTTGTGGCTTGAGGGTTTAGGGGTGAGGGGAACGAAATGCGCGAGATCAGCATCTCACCATGTTTAACCTTTGTTGCGCAATCCACATCAAGCACGCTTGGTTCAGGAGCTAGTCTCATCTTGCATTCTATTGGCCGTTGCGCACCCGCATGATGATGCTCTGTAGCACTCGCGTGGGCCTTAAACTTCAAACCTTTGAAGGGTACATCAGGGAAAAGGGCCAGGGCAGACTCCCCGATTATGAGACAAGGGCTTAACCGAAGTAGGGAGCAGCCCTGGGTTTTGTTGGAACCTCAAGAACCCTCCAAGCCCCAAATTCTAAACCCTTAAGCTGAGCACGGCTCGGCTGCTATCATACTGGTGCTTGACTCTTCCGTCATTCAGGTGCTAAATCCAAAGCCCTCACACCCCTAAACCCCAAATCCCTAAGCCCGAAACCCTCAAACTTAAACGCTCAGCCCAAAGCCCAAACCCTGCTAACCAGCAAGTTTTGAGGTTCACGGCGGTGTCGCGCACCGTCTTCATCATCCTCCTCATCGGCGGTCTGGGGTCAGTGTCGCCCGGCAGCAGTTTAGGGTTTAGGCTTTTCGGGCTTAAGGGTTTTAGAGTTTCCGGTTTAGGGCTTTAGAGTCTAGGGTTTAAGGTGTTTAGGGGAGAGTTTCTGCCCCTCCGCAAAAGAAGTAAGCAACCCTCCCCCCTCCACCCCGCACACTCGCACACAGTCACGCAGACACACAGACATCCAGACACGCATGCACGCACACACGCTCGCATGCACGCACGCAGCAACGCTTGCACGCTTGCACGCTTGCACGCTTGCACACTTGCACGCTTGCACGCTTGCACGCTTGCAAGCTTGCACGCTCGCACGCTCGCACGCTTGCACGCTTGCACGCTTGCACGCTTGCACACTTGCACGCAGGCACGCACGTAGGCACGCAGGCACGCACGCAGGCACGCACGCCGGCGCACGCTGGCGCACGGAGGCGCACGGAGGCGCAGAGAGGCGCAGAGACACACAGAGACACACAGAGACACACAGAGACACACAGAGACACACAGAGACGCACAGAGACACACAGAGACACACAGAGACACACAGAGACACACAGAGACACACAGAGACACACAGAGACACACAGAGACACACAGAGACACACAGAGACACACAGGACACTCACACGGGCGCACACACACACACACACACAAATGCATGTGCATGCATGAATGTACGAGCGTGCATGCACACATGCACGCACATTGCACACGCAGATGCACACACGCACACAACACAGACACCTGCGCGCCCACACACACACACACACATGCGCGCCCACACACACACACATACATATCTATATAGATAGAAAAATATATACATGCGCGAGCACACACACACATTGCACGCATACCCGCACGCACTCATGTGAACACATGCCGGCACGTGCGCACGCACAAGCGCACGCACCAATGGACCCAGCAACCCATGCATGCATGCATGCACGCATACATGCAGGCGTGCATGCTCGCCTACATGCATGCATGCATGCATTCATGCATGCACACACGCACACACACACACATGTAAATGCACCTTCACACGCACACATGTAAGACCGCCTAGATGACCTCCGACAACTGAAATCCTAAGCCTGCAGAATCCGAGTCTAAGCCATCTAAGTCGGCCTCAAGCACCGGCAAGACAAAGCCCAGCAGGATTTGGTGGTTCGGCTTCGATCACGACTGAGCGCAGCACCCCTCGCATTCAATAGAGTTTAAGGGTTTAGGGCTTGGGGGTGCAAGGGGGTTTAAGGTTTAGGGCTTAGGGCTCAGTGTGATGCTGAAGGCTTGCATTCGGCTCCACGAGACAATCCCATCGACCCCAAGCCCGAATTAAATCCTAACCACCAAACCCCGAGCCGTTTACACCCAAACCTTTATTCTATCTTTGCCGGGATTCAGGGGATTTCCTCAGCCCAAAACGCTAAACGCTGTGATTCTTTACTGTGACTTTGCAACTTAGCTTTTCTTAACAGGTTGCTCAAGGCAGAATAGCAGGAGTGCAGCCAAGATGTAGGGTCTGCAAGCTTCGGTGATTCTGGAATGAGGTTCATGGCTTCCTGCTGTAAGGGCTGGCAAGCCGCAGGGCATTAGCCAGAAGCCCTTGCCATGTTGCTTCAGGAGGGTTTAGGGCCTACCCAGGCACTAAGCCCTAAACACTGAACCTTTTTCAGGGTTTAGGGTTTAGCTCTCTTTGGTCTAGGGCATCTGTCAGGCACGGCGCTTAGGTTTAGGGCCGCTGCTGTGGATTTAACTTTCCTACTTTCCCCGACGGGAGTAGGTGAAAACTATGTACCTGAAGTGTAGGGTTGAGGGTTGAGGGTTGGGGGTTGGGGGTTCAGGGTTTAGGGTTTAGGGCGTAAGGTTTGGGTGAGATTCAGGGTTCAGGTTTTTGTTGGGCTTTAGGAGGTCTTCTCGGAGGTTCATGGGCGCTTACAGGTTAAGTAGGCCTAAAAAAGTACTCCCCCGTAAGCTGATCACCAGATCTAGTTCTTGTTTCCCCATGGTACCCGATACACTTACAAACGTACCCAGAGACTGCAATATCTCTTTACTAGAGAATCTTCTTAAACCATAATGTGACGATCCCTATAGCACTGCCAGGCACTTTCCCGAACTCCGGATATTGGCGTCTGTCACGCACAGTTTAGGAGGCTCTGGGTTTAGGGGATATGGGCCTATGGGGTGCGATTTGTCCAGTTGCCAAAGGCAACCACAGAGAGCACAGAGCTCATGAAGCCCGCGGCAAGTCTACGGACGCCTGCACATGCTTAGGTGCTTGGGGAGGACTGGGAGTTAGGGATTGCTGGGTTAGGTGCTCCTTCCCCAGACAGAACCCCAAGTTACCTGATACATAACAGCATGGAGGACCCCTTCCCCCCGCCCCTGTAGCCTAGCTTTGCAATATCATTCACAGCCCAAGCAAGTGTTAGCCACACAGCCGAGAGTTGATGGTTTAGGATCCAGGTCATTGGGCTTCATTTGGCATATAGGAGACACGTGGTGACATCAGACCGAGTCCCAGCGCCGAGCGCTGCAAAAGCCGTTCCTTGGGGGAGTTGAATCAGTAGTTTGACTCTGCCTGGCTTTCTTGGGGTATGCTCCTCATCCTTCCTTGTCTTTTTTCAGACGTAACGCAAACCTATGATGCTACCAGCAGGTTCGGGACGAGAGCCTGCGACCAGCCTGGGAATAACCATAAGCTCCTGAACCCTGAGCTCAAAGCTGCAGGGTTCGAAAACTCCTAAATCCCCGCCGCGGGGCCCGCCTTTTAGATGCCCGAGACCGTAGTCTCCGCCCCTAGCCCAAGCCCCGAATTTCAAACCTGAAGCATGGGAAGCCCCTAGTAAAACCACTACCCCTAAACCATAAACCCTGAACTCACACAACCCAACCCCCAAAGAGCCAAAGGCTGTCAACCCTAAACCCCGCAAGCCCTTGGCCTTAGAACACTAAAATCCTTAACCGCTATCCTCCCCTAGTACCACCCAACCCCCAACACAGCAAGCAAACCCTAACACATCACGACCCCTAAGCCCCAAACCCTAAACCCTAAACCCTAAGCCCTGAACCCTAAACCCTAAACCTCTTTCCATACAGAGCCTTTGCCGGAACCTTTGGCTCGAACACCGCTTTGCTGCTGCGAAGAGCGCACGGCCTCGGCCAGCTGCCTAGTTGGAGGGGAAGGGGGGATTTAGGATTTGGGGTTCCGGGGTTTGGGGTTTAAGGGCACGGGGTTTAGGGTTTAGGGGTATGGTGTTTAGGGTTTAGGAGGGTTTCGGGTTGATGGGGTTTGGGGGCTTGGGGTTCAAGGTAAAGGGGTAAAGGTGTCGGGTTGAGCGCCAGGGGTTTAGGGTCCAGGATCAGGATGAGGGCTTAGGGTTTTGGGAGCTGTGATGAGTTCAGGGATTTGGCTGGCCACAGGCGGGGCAAGGGACATCATCCGTTTGGGGTTTCGGGTTTAGAGGTACCTTGCCCGTAAACCCTGAAGCTTTGAAGCCGGTTGCGGACGGAGGTGTGCGGGGGGCTTCTCCAAACCAGAAACCCGAAAAGGCTGCACAGGCGCAGCATCCTTTGAGGCCCTAAACCAAGAACCCTCAACCTTAACAAGCAGTAAGCCCTAATCCCCAAGCCCTCTAAGCCCTACAGTAACCCTATCAACCCTTAAACCCTCTGCAGGCCCTATACCCTTTGCAGTTTAAAGCCCGAAAACCCCCCAAGGCCCTAAGCCCTGAACCCTAGTTGAATCCTAAACCCTAAGCCCTCAACTACAAAGCTTCGCTTCGCCCCAGGAGAGATTTTGCTGCCCAGCAAGCATGGCTGACTCCGCCTCAGACTGTGTTGTGTAGTTTATAACAGGGGTCTAAGTTGAGGGTTTGAGGCAGAAGTAGGTTAGCTGTATCTACATGCCTCATGGGGTTGCTTCTCCTGATGTCGGTCTTTCTCGGTGGCGTTGGAGTTAGAGCAGCTGCATCCTCCGAAGCCCTGGGCCTGGAAAACACGAAGCCCAGTCAGTCCCTGCGCCATCCATCCTCACGAACACCGCATCCCAAGTCCCAAACCCCTTGCATGCCACACTAAAACCGAAACCCGTTCCTCATCCCCCATGCTGAGCCCTAGATTCTCAAGTGCGAACAGTGTTGCTGAGGACAAGAAGGAAGGAGCTGGACCCTGAGCTTTCCGTGATCCGACCTCTCCCCCCGCCCCAGTGGCCTATATAATCCTTTAGGCAATAGCAGAGGTCCTCTTGGAGGGGTGGGGGTGCCGAGGGGTGTGTGTTTTTTGGCGCCTGTTCGCAAACAACCTTGTAAGTGTCGACCGTAGTTTTGAACGATCGGAGCCTTTCCGCAAGCCGAATGCCCCAACGTTTCGGTGTGGCTTCTGTGCGTTCGTTCCTGCGTGGCCTCCTGCGCGGCTCAGGGGGAAGATGACTACCGCGCGTGCCATGCTGAGATGGGGGTTGTGGGTTCTTAGGGTCTACAGGGGGTTAGAGTTGGAGCTAAGAAATGGTTTAGGCCCTTCGGATTCTAGTTGCAGAGTCTTAAGTTTTGGATTCTAGGCCTTCTGGACTCAGGGGGCTTGGGGGATTTAACTCGTCTCCACCCTACCTTCAGATCTCTCCATACCGCCAAGGCGGCTTTTACTACTTGAGTTTTGGATTTACGGTTCAGGGTTCGGAGTCGCTGTTGGTACCGAAATCTCCAGCTGCTTTTCGCTGTTCTGGAGGTACGCATATCGCAAGACCCCAAAAACTTAGTGTAAACGTGCGCAAGGCAGGGGCGGAAGCGGATGCTCTCCCCTGACCGCGCGGACGCGTTCGCGGACGACACGCCCGCGCCGGAGTTGCAGACTTACTCCGTCGGGATGCTCAGAGAAGCTTTTGGGCCTTCTTGGGAAGGCAAGTTCCCTATGCAGAAGTTCCTAGCAAACTAAACCCTAAACTCTAAAACGCCCCAAGCTGCGAGGAGGTGAGTATGAATTCTGGTTTGCAGGCCGTGGGATGCCGGGGTCGGATCACATTTTTGGCGGTTGATTCCATTCAGGATTCGGTTTGCGGGCACGGCAGATATTCCTAGAAGTCGAGACGGCCTTTTCTCTGTGATACGGTCCCCTATATCTGGGGTGCCCCGAATGGAGAACTGACCAGATAAAAGCTTCTTCCCACTTTCGCTGTTGCAGTTCAGCCAAGTTGTGTGGACACCTAACAATTTCTAGGCAATGTTCGAAACCCCAGGCTCTACAGGGTTTGGAATCGCAACCAAGTCACCAAGGATGTCATGATCGGCCAGCAGTTGGACAAGGAGAAGAAGGAGGTATTAGAGAAGATCCGAAAGCAGAAAGAGGACGGGTCTGGCGGTTCGGGCTGCTTTGTTTTGGCAAGAGGCATGCGCCATCTGGTTGTGAACGCCCGAAGTCCTGAATCATCAAGGGTATGTCAGTTCCATTCGACACCCTGAACTGCAAGCAAGCTCCACGAAGGTTGGCGGCAAACCCTAAACCCTAAACCCTGAACCCTAAACCCTAACCCTAAACCCTAAATCCTAAGCCCTATACCCAAAACCCTAAACCCACTACACCCTTCCTCTAAACTTATGTTCACGGCATCAGGGCTGTAAGGGGTTCATTAGGGTCGTAGGGCTCCTTCAACCTGCTGCGTGGGAACAAGCGGGGTCTTGAGTTTTGGGACCCTCTTGCACCCTAAACCCGAGAACTCCCCCAAGGTTCCAAAAGACCTACAAAACCCAACTCCTCAACCCTAAGGTTGAGATCCAAAATCCTGCAGCAAGCTATACTCCTAAGCTGCTCAATCCCCTGCTGAGCTCCACCCCAACTCCGAAACCCTAAGCCATCAAACTCTCTGGGCTTACACACCCTGAGGTCCCGTACGTCCTTAACCCTTATGGGGAGTTTCCGAAAGTCCCAAAGGGATGTCTGGTATGTGTTGGGTATACCTCTGTTTCGGGAAATGCCCGCATGGGCATGTGCTATCACTTGGTTACCGCCTTTACACTAAAAACTTCTAGTAGAAGAAGGGCTCGAAGCTCCGAAATACCAGGAGGAGGCCACTGCGAAAGCAGAGGGCAAGGCGTCTTGGAGCAGAGGTTGAGGGAATCCGAGAGTTGGAAGCCCTAAGCCCCTACATCAGCTACCGCCTAAACCCTAAAGCCTATACACCCTAAAAGCCCAAGCGCCCCAAGCTCGAATCCCTAAAGCCCTAGGCACTTTGAGCCCGGCTGTTGGATTGTTCTTAGCTTGGGATGACGCGGCCAGTCAATCGTTTGGGTAGGGATCAGCAGCGAAGGGTTTAGGGCTCAGGGTTGAGGACCCGAAAACCCACCAAAATCCCCAAACCCATAAACCTCGCAAACCCCAAAGCCCTAAACTGCAAGTGACTGTAGGGTTCAAGTGAGTCTCTTAGGCTCACAACCTTCGAACTTGGCCCTAACTCCCCCCAGAATCCGCTTTGGGTTTAGAGGCTTTCATAGGGTAGCTTTATGGCTTCCCTCGTGTTTAAGTTTAAGAGGATCTGAAATAGGAATCTTTTGCAGAGGGTTTGAAGGACCTACCTGGTAGTAGAAAAGGATGGGGTATCTGATCTCAATGCCGGCAATGGGACCAAGGCCCTCTCAACCCCAAGCCCTCCTAACACCCCCCACGAAAACTCCCAAGATGCCAAAGCCCCTGAGCCCCAACATTCCTAAGCCCTTAACCTCGCCGAAACCCTAAACCGGACGCCATGAGGAAGATGAGGCCGCCAAGAAGCGCCGACTGGACTGCGACGCACACCGCTTGCTTTGCTGTGTCGATGCGTCCCAAAGGCACCCAAAGAAAGGTGCCCAAGCATGCTCTGAGGGACACGGCCCTATCAAGCAAACTCCGACACCCTAAGCCCTGCACCCTACACCCTAGACCCTAAACCCTAAACCCTTAATAAGCCCTAAACCCTAAACCCTGCACCACAAACCCAAGAACAGCTGCAGGAGCGGGCCAAAGCCGCGGCAGAGGAGAAAGAAGCAGCCAGAGGCGTGCTCGTCTACTCCCAAACCGTTGGGTTTGGGGTTTAGGGTTTAGGGTTTAGGGTTCAGGGGTCAGGGTGCAGGGTTGTCTGTTGTTCTCTTGGTTTACGTATCGGGTTTAGCTGGGAGGCCCTGGGAAATCCTAGAAGGTTCTGGGGTTCGGGCACGTACAAGGTTGTGAAAAGGTGCTGGAACACCCTAGCAGATGCCCAAGCTTCCTGAAGAGTTTGGGGTTGCGAAGGGAAACCAGGACTTTCCATGACTTTATGAGGTTTGAAGGGTTACAAATCTCAAACCTGCAGCCCTGCTTGGAGGTGTCATTACAAGTTAGACTTTAAAGCGCTACTTCTAAAAGTACCCATGATCCTTCAAGTATACTCTACACCGTAAACCCTAAACAGTAGCTCCAACGTGACAGGTAGCCAGGACGATGCTGGCGGCGATAGATGGGCATGGGGCCCTGTTCGGGAAAGTTTGAGGTGCAGGGTTGAGGGTTTAGGGTTGAGAGTTTGGTGATGGACAGATTCAGTTTCGGGTTGTAGGGGTGTAGGGTTCAGAGGTTGGGGGCATTCGGGGTTCGGGGTTTTGCTGTAGGAACTAGGGCAAGTTTAGTTCACGCCCCCCGCCATCCAGTTCATTTGCAAAGCACTGTAATTGGCACTCGGGTCATTTGGTTTGTTCGCTAAGATTTTGGTTCAGGTTTTTGGGGGTTCAGGGTTCAGGGTTCAGGGCCTAAGCAGGAGAGAGTGGGATGCTACCGAAGGTCCGCAACCAACCCTAAATCCAAGACCCTGAGCCTTTGTGGAGCTCGCCTTTGTTGGGGCTTGTTTAAGGAGTTTTCAGTCGAACCTTGTGTCTGCTAGGCCACACCCATCGGCGGCGGAGAGGTTGGAGAGACGCCTGCATCCTACCATGCGCTTCTCTGGGTTTCGGGTTTGAGGGGGTTTTCTCATTGAAGGGGCTGCCGGGTGTAAAAGCTCTACACTCCAAGAGGGATCAGGGTGTTGGGGCTTAAGCCCTCCTGCGTGCCAAACCCTAAACCCGACACCCTCCACCCTAAACCCTAAACCTAAACCATAACCCTACGTCAGCCTCAGCCCTAAGCCCTGAAACCCTTTTCAGTAAACCCCTAAACCCGAAACCCTAAGACCTTAAATGCCCAAGCCCCAAACCCTAGACCCTACATCCTGAGCCCTGATTCCTAGATCAAACCCTAGAGCCTAATTACTACAGCCCTCAGAGAAGGCACCCCCCAGCTGCCCCAAAGGCCCGTGGGCTCCGAAAAGAAGGAGAAGGGCAGCGAGTGGGATGGCGCTGGCGAGGCGAAACTGCCTTTGACTGGACTGGAGGGTTCAGGGTTTTAGGTTTGATGCGGTGTGTGCGAGCTTGAACCTCGAGGCCTGAGGGTTTCAGTCAGCTAGGGTTTAGGGTTCAGTTTTGTCACTTTTGTGAGCACGAATCCCCAGGCCAAATTCTAAGGCTAAGAGATTTGAAGGAGACTATCGGAACACTGGGAGGTGTATGTATGCACAGAGGGTATATATCAGGTACCCCAAGCTAGGGGGGCCCAGGCTTTTTGACTAAATTCTAAACTCGGCACCCGAAACCACCTCGCACCCTGAACCTAAGCCCTTTATGTGGTGCCCTAAGATCGACACACAGCCTGGCTTGTGCCAGGCCGGCGACGACTTTGGTGAGACGCCCGATGCTGGCGAGTTCGGTGCGCATCTCAGAATTCTCCGGGCCGACTCCCTGACAGCCCAAGGCACAATCATGAGACAGCAAAGAAAACGAACCTAAACCCCACCCACAAAGACAAAGCCCATCATTCTCAAGCCCCCACAGCAAGGCCCCAAGGCCCGAGTAAGGGGCCGAGACCCTAAAACCTCCAATCCTGAACCAGGTGAGACTCCATTGCCGGGCGGAGCCAAGAAGAAGCGAGCGCGATGGGTGCGAGTCCTGGGGGTTGAGGATTTAGGGCCTCCCTGAGCCCCGAAGCCTACGCAAGCCTAAAAGCCTTGTATCCCCCAAGCTCCAGAGCATGCCCAAACACTCTAGCGCATCAGCCCCAAAAAGCTGATAAACCCTCACAAAAACCCCAAAGCCCCAAAGCCCCACTCCTAACCTCCTCAAGCCCTGAAACCCCAAGACTCTAGGACCCTTCAACCGCAGACCCACGAGTAGGGCCTAAACCCAAGCCCTGGAGTTCAAACTCGAGCATCGTGACATCCCAAAATATCCCTCCCAACCAGGGAACTGTCGGAGGGACAAGTCCATTGCGGCTTGGAGTTTCGGATGTTAATGCTGGAGAAAAGAAGATGTATGCACGATTACACCACTCAAGGTACCATTCTAACTCAATAGGCGACGGCAGTACTTGGAGCCCTCATGGATGGAAATGACTGGATGTGGGGTGTAGGGTTCGGGGTTTCGGGTTTTGGGGTCTTAGGGTGCAGGGTTTTGGATGTAGTTCTAGCTGGGTTTAGCTAATTTAGAAGTAAGGAAGCTGTCGCTAAGCAATTCAAACCGTTTTGCCAGGTATTTTTGAAAGGCTGCGCAGTCTATGTATAACATTGCGCGACCCCCCCAAGCCCGTTGGGTCTCAGGAAAGGAAAAGACCCAGTCCTGCTTACGTGGAGGTCTGGAGTACTTAGAACCTACTCATACATTTAGGGCTTCACTTAGAAGTGCTGTTAGTTTTGTTACTTGGGCAATTGGTTTCAGGTAAAGCTACCTAAGTAGAGCCATAAGTACTCCAAGTAGACCTCTTTAAACCTTGAAGAAACCTTACGCCCAATACCTACCTAAGCCCTAAACCTACCCCCTTTTCCCCCCTTACCCCTATTCACTGCTATAGTCCATAGCGCTGAACCCACCACCCCAAACCTGGTACCCCATACCCTGTATACTTCCCAGGACTCCGCGCCCGAGAAGGACGAAGTCGGTGCTACGCCCACCGCAGACGTCACGCCTAGCGTCGATGTCACGCCCAGCCGGGAAGCCCAATGCGGCTCCTATAGGGTTTAGCATCCCGGTTTAGGGTTTAGGGTTTTCAGGGTTTCAGGTTTAGGGTTTCTAGTTTGTTTTGGGTTTAAGCGCTTAGGGCTTTTAGGGATGGGGGTTTTACGGGATTTGGGTTTGTGGGGTTATGGTTTTGGCAGCGGTTTTAGGGTTCAGGGTTGAAGGTTCATGGGGCTTCTGTCGAACCCTGAGCCAACAAGGTGTTCCCAAAAAATTGAGGGAATCATTAGGATGTCTTTTCGGGCAGGCTAAACCCTGAACCCTTCATAATCGATTTAGGTTACTTCAAGGCTCCTATGTGTCTGAGAAATGATATGCTGTAAGATTTATAGACTTAGGGGCGTTTCGGCTGAAGGGTTTTGTAAGGCATTTGGGGTGCAGTGCATATTTTAGGGTTGCGGGGCATATTGGGGGCCCCCTATTGTTGGCCTCGCCTACGTCTTTAGTTGCGGACTGCGTATAAAATTGTCCCGAAGCCCTGTTGACCCTAAACCCTAAACCTTGAAGCTGTCGCGTTTTCAGGCGTGGACGTCACGCCCAGCGCCTCCGAGCCCACCATAGGCACCAAATTGCCATTGCTTCGAATCCAGTTTTCCTTTAGCTTTTGCTGTTAGGGGCCACGAGTACTACTTACTCTACTTCCTCGACCCAAACCCCCGACGCTACAGTAAATCTCCCAAGCCCGAAACCCCAAACCCCAACCAACCCTAAACCTTGAACTGGTCTGAGATTTCAACCTTGTGACCCTGACCTGCCAGCAGAGCCTTCAGCCCAAGCCGAAGTAGTGTTTCGGGTTGAGGAAGTGGCCCCCACCCACCCCACCCTCCCCTTCAGGTCCTTGAAGGCCCCCTATTTTCGTCCGAGGTTTCGGCTTTATGAGGAAACCGAAGCCACCGAATTTGCACTGCGCAGGTGCCACACCCTTTGCAGGGGGCATTGGCATGATGACGCCTGGAGATACGCCGCAGGGGTCTCTTACACACGTGGGAAAGAGTTTGAAGGAGGGCTTTAGGTCTTAGGATTGTTAAGGGTTTTTCGTTTAGGGTGTTTGGGGGGGTTTAGGTTGTTTTTGGGATCCAGGGGTTTGAGTTTAGAGAGGGTTTTTCGGTACTAAGGGTTTGGGACTCAGAGTTGTCGGTCTTTTCGGGGTTGAAGTTCAGAGGGTTTTGTTTCAGGGCTTTGGCAGATTTATGAGAGATTGGGCCAAAGCTGAGTACCCAAAAGCCTTGTCAATAGTCAACTCGAAGCCCTAAACCCTCGACCGCAAGAAGACCTATTCTCACTCGGAGCCCCTGGTAGAGCCGTTCAGGTTTAGGGTCGAGTAGCTGACTTTGGGGCGATGAGTGCAGCCCCATCCAGTCTAAGTGCTAGGGCGGCCAACCCCCAAGTTTTGTAACTTTTGAGCTTTCGTTTGGGTGGCTGAGTTGCTTTAAACTATGAGCCCCAGGCCCCAAACCCTAACCCCTCTGCGCCCTACACCCGAACTCTCTATACATAAGCGTACCCTAAATGACTATCCCCTCCATGTCGGCATGTGAAGTTCAGGGCTTGAAGTTCCGGAGAGGCTCCAGGATTCAGGGGAGTGCACTTCGAGGGTCTCCGCTTTCAGGAGTGCTTGCCCCAAATCCCCAAGCCCGAAATCCCAAACTTCTTCTAAGCAGCAGGCCTCACGCCCTAAACTTTCTGCAAACCATCTGGATCGTCAAACTTCAGCTGGGAAACGACATTTGCTCTCCACTGCCCAGAGACGGTCACTTACGCTCAAGCTGCCGTCAAGGTTCGGTAAGGTCGGCAAGGCCTACCGCGTAGTCTCATGGCCAAAACTATACCGCAAGTCCATCGACTGATCGCGCACTCGATGGCGGACATCGGTCGCAGGAATTTCGGCTGACGGTTCAGGCCTACTGCCAGCACCAGTTCTGTAGCACAGAAACTGGGCGGAAAGTTCATTGTGGCCGTGCTGTTCGTTGCCGACAAAAAAGCGATCCTCCCGCGTGTTCAAGAGCAGTTGAAGCTTCTGGTCTCTGAATTGAAATCCTGAGCCCTAACCCCTCCACCCCCCCCCCCCCAAAAAAGAATAAACAACCCACACCTAGTCATCTAGAAGGAGACCCCAAACCAAAACCCTGCTCTAGAACCACACCCCAACACCCTAGCCCGTCTAACCCCAAACCCCAAGCTCCAAACCCTACACCCTAAACCCTAAACCCCAAACCCTTAAAGCCCTGAAGCCTCCGAGGCTTGGCACCCCGGGCATGGCGAACCTGGGTACTCCAGCCCCTCGCCAGCAGTGGCCGTCGTGGGCTTGCGGCTCTTGGGTTTAGGTTTAGGGTTTAGGGTTTAGGGTCTAGGGTTTAGGGTTTTCAGGTTTAGGGTGTAGGGTTTGGGGCTTATGTGGTTTTGTAGGGCTCATGTAGGGTGTAGGGTTTATGGGGTCAACCGGGTTTGTAGGGGTCCATAGGGTTTATAGGAGATCAAGTGCTTGGCAGTGCTTCTAGCTAGGGTTGGCAGGGTTTGCAGGGTTTGCAGGGCTTCTAGGTTGTTTATGGGTTTTGCAGAGCTATAGGCCTTAGGGCTTTTAACATCCTTTCAGGATTACAAGAGGCAATCTAGTGTGCATCCCACACCTTAAACCCAGACCCTACACCTTAACGCTTTCGGGCCTAAGGTCCCCAAAAGCCCTAAGACCCCCAAGACTTAAAAGCAGGGCATAGATGAGGCGCCCTTCACCCTAAACCCCTAAACCCCTAAACCCCTAAACCCCTAAACCCCTAAACCCCTAAACCCCTAAACCCCTAAACCCCTAAACCCTTAAACCCCTAAACCCCTAAACCCCTAAACCCCTAAACCCCTAAACCCCTAAACCCCTAAACCCCTAAACCCCTAAACCCCCAAACCCCTAAACCCCTAACCCCCCTAAACCCCTAAACCCCCACACCCCGAAACCCCTAAACCCCTAAGACACCCCTAAGCCCTAAACCCTGAACCTCTCCGAGGTCGGGCTCACCCCGAACTTTGCGGCCATGACGCCCGAGCAGATCCAGGCACGGTAGTTGGCCCCAAGACCCAGAAACCCTAAATGGCCTTGCGGGGTTGAGGGCTGAGGGCTGAGGGTTCAGGGTTCAGGGTTCAGGGTTGAGGGTTCAGGGTTCAGGGTTCGGGGTTCAGGGGTTAGGTTTTAGGGTTTAGGGCAGTTGAAGGTTGAGGTTTCCTGTGTACACTGTGAAGGTTTTGAGGGGTTGTGGGGCCTACCGCCCTCAGCTTTTCACCCTCAACCCTTAAGTCTAAATCCATGCGCGCCCCTGCAGGCTTACCGCTACGATGCGGAGGTCAACGAGCGGAATGCGCCCATGTCGGATGAGGCCGCACAAACTGCACCCACTGTTTACTGTTTAGGGCTTTGAAGCCACTGCCGCCCGATACCCCCATCTTCGGAAGTCCCCCCTGAAAGAAATCCCAGTGCCAGTCTTGTAGGGGTTGCATTCAGAGGGTACAGATCAGCAGAAGAGTATCCATTGCGGCAACTGGCATCGTAGCGGCACTCACCTGCCTCCAGCCCCAAGAGTCCAAACCATCAGCCTTTTACCGAAGTTTCCTTATCCCGAGCTGAAACCCTAGAACCCCCGCCCCCTAAACACCTAGACCCTGAACAACGTAACTTACCCTCGAACACCAGGGGCCCAACAGTCTCAGTTTCCCCTCCTCTCGCTGAATCTGCGACGAGGGAGCCGTATGTTTCGAAATTTACTATGCAGCCACGGGCTTAGGGTTTTGGAGTATAGTGTGCGGTTTCCGGTACGGGCTTAGGGTTATGAAAGGCACTCCCTTTTACCCTTCGGAGGTTCTGGGCCCCTTAATGAACTGAACGAACGGCACCCTACTCAGAATCTTGTTCCGGGTTAAGGGTTCAATGCGGATGCCCTCAACAGGAGCTGGATGCAATCTTCCCGCAGACCGGCTACGAGATCGTCAGGCAAGAGGTTTACATGGATAGGTAGTTATAACTTGCCTGTCAGTGGACCAACGATACTTAAAACTGGCAATAGCCCTTTTTTGGGCACTTACACACAGCTACCCGTACCCACCCAAACACTTTTGTTTTTAGGGATGAGGGGCTCTTAGGCACATGACCCCACATCTCTGCGCTTCGGTCTTTGCGGCCAGAAGACATTAGGCCTCAGCGGTTCGGTCAGATAGGCTTGAGTGTTTGGGGGACTTTGTAATGGCTGTAAAGGGGCCAGACAACTAGAAATCTCGTTTAGCGTGGTTGTAAATAAGGTTGGGTTGACAGTCCCCGGATCCTTGTGCACAGGCCTATACACAGTGCATAGAAGTCAGTTCTATACATGATGAGTACAGCACTCTGAATACACAAGTAAGTGGATATGGCACGCATTTTCACAGTGATGTCGAGGACAGAACTCATATACACTAAACCCTCAACCCTGAAAAACCCAACAATCTCCTGACGTGATAGGCCACCGGCGAACTACAACCCGATCCGCAAATCGGCGGCCTGGCAGCAACTTAGAAGAGGTCTCGTGGGCCCAGAGGTACGCCTGTTCCCTTGTACCAAGGGTTAGATTTCCTTGTGAACGAGGCACCCTGCGCAGTCTTGAATGACTGGGCAACCTGAGCTTGAGGCTTCTCGGGTTTTTTTGGGGGACCGCAAGGTCCCTTAGATTAAGGACTGATTCGCGGAATGCTTGCGAATGTTGGTGAACCCCACCCTACGAATAGCCCCTCTGAACCGCTACACCCTTCACCCTTGAACCTTAAACCCTCAGATTCCTAAACTCAATCATGATTTGAATCCCAGAACTCGTACTGGTTGGGCGTTTAGGGCTCAGGGTTTGGGGTTTTGGATTTTTGCTTGGTTGAGGGTTTGGGACTTGCATCAAGGTTCTGTCCTCCACGCCGACGTGCGACACCCAGACCACAGCTTGTTTTGGGTTTATTGGGGTTTAGGGTTCGAGCTTGAGAGGGTCGTTGGTTTCTTCTAGCGTCTCATCGTTCTGTTGGAAGGCGTATGTGGCGGGGGTTCGTTGGAGGTTCCCTTTCGGTGCTCTTGGAACCCAGGTTTTTTGTGACCTGCGAGTAAATCCTGCACCTAAGCCCTCGACCTCAAAACCAGAGCCCAAAACCCTTGAAACCCTTACATCCCCAAACCCTGACATGTTCATCGCCTTCCCTGGGCTTTCATGCAAGCCTCCCGCCCATCCCCCCCTAGGCTTCGACCCCTCAACACGGAAGGGGGCCGACCATGAATCTAACCAGGTGACAGGCTTTGGGTTATGGGATTCGGGTTTTGGGTTTTTAAGGTCAGCAGGGCATCGGAATCCCAAAAGCCCCAGAACCCTGTGGCTTTTAGGCCTGGATCCTAAAGCCTACAGCTCATGTCCATATTTTGTCCGGAACCCCGAAACCCTCGACACCATAAGAGCAGTTAACAAGCCGAAAGCCCCAAAAACAACCTAACAAGCTTGTCACGCAAAAAACGCCCGAAACCCTCAAACCCTCAAACCCTCAAGCCCTCAAACCCTCAAGCCCTCAAACCCTCAAACCCTCAAAACCTCAAACCCTCAAGCCTCAAACCCTCAAACCCTCAAGCCCTCAAGCCCTCAAGCCCTCAAGCCCTCAAACCCTCAAACCCTCAAACCCGAAACCCCAAACCCTAAACCTTAAACCCTACAGAACATTGAGGCCGACGCCAAGCGGCACCCCGTTCTTCTCCATGCAGAGCCCAGATGCCCCCAAGCCGTGCCTCGCCAGGGGATCAGGGTTTGGAGTTTGGGGTTTGGGGTTTAGGGTTTGGGGTTTGGGGTTTTTGGTTGAGGGTTTCGGGTTCGGGGTTTGGGGTTTAGGGTTTGGGGTTTGGGGGTTTCTGGTAATTTAGGGTTTCCCCCTAAACCCCCTAAACCACCGACCCCTCGTCTCAAACTTACTAAACCCCAGAACCTTCCCTAAGCCATGCTCAGGGCTGAAGGCGTAGCACCCCTAAAGCCCTGAACCCTAAGCCCAGACAGGATCTAGAAGTGCCCTCATTTCCCTGTTTGTATGCTTAGGATCCTCTGTAAACCGCTTTGTGCAAAAGGCCACGCTGCTTGCTCTTAGGTTGCTGCCTCCACGTTACTTGAAGGTTCATGGGTAGCCAGTAAGTAGAGCTTGCGGTTGAGGTACGGTTGTTGGGCCTAGGGTTTGGGGCTTAAGCTGGGTCAGAACCCCAAAACGGTAAGCCACCAGCTACCCCCTCAACTCCGAAACCTGAGGGTCCCAAGCCCTAAGTCCTAAGTTCCCTAAAGCTAAAGTTCACTAAACTTCCCAAATCCTAAACCTCAAACCCAAGCCTACGCCGCAGACCTGAAGCCCACTCAGGTACGAAGTGCCGGCTTCACCAGCAGTGGGTGACATGCCCATGATCAAACCGGAGGAGCCGAACCCTTTCGGGGTTGAGGGAGTTTAGGGTTTTTCGTTCGCGGTTGAGGGTGCTTCAGTTTGTAGGGTTTCGGGTTGAATTCCCCTTTGGCAGAATCACCCACAAATCTGAGACCCTCAACGGCAAAACCTCAACTCGAAGCCCCAAACCCTCAGCCACTCACCTGACGGTGCCGTTTGTCCCCACGGAGATGCCAGCCCCCAAGAACACTGAAGGCCGAAATGCTTCAGAGGGTTCATCCTTCCATGGTTTAGGGTTTTCGGGCTTTAGGGCTCTAGGATGTTAGGATTTCAGGGTTTAGGTTTTCGGCTTTGGTTTAGGATGTAGGGTGTAGGGTGTAGGCCGCAGGGCTTACACTTCAGGCAAGGGTATTTCAGGGTTGAGGGCATCAAGATTGGGGCTTTTGCTACAGGGTTCGAGGGGCTAGAGTTTCGGGCCTAAAGCCTAACCCCCTGAGCCCCTGAAACCCTACAGTAGCCCCGCAACCCGAACTAAACCCTTTACAGGACTACTCCTACTTCGCGCCTCTTCTGGCCGGCCGCCGCCCTCGGCTTGTGATGGGTATAGAGTTTGGGGGTTTAGGGTTCCAAACGAGCCTCGTGGAGTTCCATGGAACAGTTGGATTTCCGAATCTTAGGCCCAGCCCTCCCTTTTAGGGTGCTTGGGTTGTTGGGTTTTGAAAGTTTTGGGGGTGTAGGGGTTTGAGAGGTTTAGGGCCTCGGTTTAGGGGTTTAGAGTTACGGTTTAAGGTGTTTTTGGCAAGGGTTTCAGATAATGTTTAGATGGTTTCCGTGATTTTCGTCTTTTAGGGGGTTTTTAGGGGGATGAGGGCTTTAGAGTTGCGGGCTTCAGAGACATAGGGTTTTTTTAGATTAGATTTGCAAGCCTTTCATGGGATTCAGGGATGAGGGCTTCATGGCTTCGGGGTTCAAGGGGGGATTTAGGACATGAGGGGTTCAGGGAGAGATCAGATTCCCTTCCAGTAGCAGTAGACTCTAACGCTTAACCCCAACACTGATTTCCAACCAGCTCACAACTCTTCACCCTAAACTCTAAACCTTGCGCCCTACTCTTTACCCTTAAGCCCGAACCCCTAAACGCCACACCCTCAACCCTAAACCCTCAACTCTTAAGCCCCCACTCCCACTATGCCCTCAAGCACTCAACACATAACTCCAAGCGCCCAGGTGACAACGACGACAACTTGTCACCTGAGGAGGCCAAGGAAAGGAAGATCATGCGCTTGCTGCTCAAGGCGCGCCCTGAACACCCACAACCCTACATCCTCAACCCAACACCCTGTGAGCCCCAAGCCACCCTACGAGCCCTAAAGCCGCCGAAGGCCCAAGTCTAAGAGCTACAAGAATGCCAGCTTTTCTTGCCGTTCCCGGCGGCTCTGAATGACTGAGTTTGTTTTAGCGATCTGCTGTTTCGTGGGACCCCAAATCTGCTGAGTCCTAAGCCCTCAACCCTGAAGGTGAAGAACGGCACGCCTCCCATGCGCCGAGCGGCGCTCCGCCAGATCACGGACAGCCCTGCGCTCAGCAATTCGATATGGTGGGGCCTTCCCAAGATAGGGGCGGAGTCCTTACATACCTCCAAACCCTAAACCAAGCCCGGAGAACCCTAAACCCTAACCCCTAACCCCTAACCCCTAAACCCTAAACCCTGAACCCTAAACCCTAACCCCCAAACCCTAAACCCTGAAGCCTAAAGCCTAAACCCTAAACCCCCACAAAGCCTCGCCAAGGCGCCCGGAGCTTCGGCCCTGGCCCGCTCTTCAACCAGATTTTGCCGCTTCTGATGAGCACGGGGCCCTGGTGGGTTTAGGGCTTAGGGTTAGGGTTTAGGGTTTAGGGTTTAGGGTTTAGGGTTTAGGGTTTAGGGTTTAGGGTTTAGGGTTTAGGGTTTAGGGTTTAGGGTTTAGGGTTTAGGGTTTAGGGTTAGGGTTTAGGGTTTAGGGTTTAGGGGGGGTTTAGGGGTTTAGGGGTTTAGGGGTTTTTAGGGGTTTAGGGTTTAGGGTTTTGGGGTTTAGGGGTTTTTAGGGGTTTAGGGGTTAGGGGTTTAGGGTTTAGGGGTTTAGGGGTTTAGGGGTTTAGGGGTTTAGGGGTTTAGGGGTTTAGGGGTTTAGGGGTTTAGGGGTTTAGGGGTTTAGGGGTTTAGGGGTTTAGGGGTTTAGGGGTTTAGGGGTTTAGGGTTTAGGGCTTAGGGTTTAGGCTTCGGGTTGAGGGTTTAGGGTTTAAGGTTCAGGCTATGACCGTAAGGGCGACCGACATATAACACCAGCGATGCAGCACCCGACTGGCCCACATCCCTGCAGTTTGAGAATTTGTTGGGAAATTAGGGGTCCACAAGCCCCTAGCCCGACTCCTGAACTTCAAGAGTTTCAGCGTGTTGTAGTCTAGGTATGTGGGGTAGGGTTGGGTTCTGCACGGAGCGACCTGTCGTCATGGTGCAGAAGCCCCACACGTTCCGAGCCTAAGCGCTACACTAATCCCAAACTTTAAAGGCTGAATCCCCCCATCCCAAATCTCCGAAACCCCAACCAAACCTGAACCCTGAACCCGCAAGTCCTCGCGGCCCCGAGCTGCGTTTGCGCGCAGGCAGCACCCTCGAAGATCAGGAGCGACATCTTTTGGTCAAGGCCCCCTGTGGCAGGGGCGAACCAAAACCTAAGCTAACCAACCCCTCCAGGTTTAGGGTTTGGGGTTTTAGGGTTGCTTCGCTTGAGAGAGTTGCGCTTGGTGGTTTCAGAGCTTGGGGGCGGCTTCAAGGCAAAGTCCACCCTAAACACTATGGTTTCCGTGCTTGGTAGAGTTCTTTTCACTTCTATGTTGAAGTAGAAGGACTTTTCACAGATGCAGATTCTGAATTACTACGTCCTGTGTTTTGGGGCTAAGCTTTGTCGGGTTCGGGGGTTACATGTAAACCAGCCAACCCTAAAAGCCCCAAGCAGAACATCTTCACCTAAAGTTTGTGCAGGTGATCGACCGCGTGCTTTATAAGCTGGACGACATGGCCAGGGTCCCAGTCACAAACCCTCAACCCCAGATCCCTAAACCGAAGCCGTGAAACCTAAACCCAAACCCCGAACCCTCGCCTTCCTCAGGTGAAGCCCTCTAAATCCTTCACTTGGATACTTCAGGGCCAGGATTTTGTGGGTTTAGGGTTTAAAGAGGGCGTAGGGTTAGGGGTTTGGGGCCACTATGTCAAGGGGTCTTTCCTTGGGTTTGGGGGCCTTTTTTTGATCCTGCTCAAGATCTTTCCTACACGGAATTGCCTATAGGAACATGCTGGGTTGATTTACAGGAGACCCTGTTCACAGATAATGTTCGATCTGTTTTAAGCATGGTACCCCAAAAGGGACCAGAGAATCCGGGGAAGCCCAAAACCTTCAACCCGAATTACAGGGAACTCACAAGGTGCGACCCTACGTCCACAAGATCTTGGTGGTCATTGAGCCCCTGCTCATCGATGAGGACTACTTTGCTCGAGTAGAAGGGCAGGAACCTCAGGGGCAGAGCAGGGTTTGGGGCTTCTTGGCTTGTTATGATTGTTATGTAGGGTTTAGGTAGGGTTTAGGATGCTGAGCATGTGAGAGCTGGTAGAGAAGTGAGGAAACCTTTAGTAACTGCATCGCAAACATTGCTGAGAACCCACAGTGGACCAAAATTGAAGCAACCCTAAACCCTAAACCCTAAACCCTAAACCCTAAACCCTAAACCCTAAACCCCAAACCCTAAACCCTAAACCCTAAACCCTGAACCCTGAACCCTGAACCCTAAACCCTGAACCCTAAACCCTAAACCCCGAAAAAGGGACTCATTAGCCGCTGAGGCGAGAGATCATCAGCAACCTTGCCAAGGCGGCAGGCCTTGGCATGACCTTGCGGGGAAGCGCTTCGTTAATGAAGTCTAGAAGTACTTGCAGGGCATTAGGGGTTTCAAGGTTTCAAAAGGGCTGATAAGGGTCTTGCCTTTTAAGGTCTTGGGACAGTTGCCTCTTTGGTGTTCAGTTGGTTTGGGTTTTCGTGGGGCTCAGCGGTTGAGGATCTGTCTTTGAGAAGGGTCGGCCTATAACCGGTTGTAAGGTTGCAGGGCTTTAGGATTAAGGGTTCATGGCCTCTGGCTTAGAGCTGAGGGTTTAGGGATGTTTAGGCTCTTGGGCTTCAGGCTGTGGGGGGGTCTTCGAGTTTTGTACTATAATTCCCTACCCCCACACACCCCTAAGCACCAGGTTCATGGAGCCTCGCATGCAAACTATTAACCCGTACTTGAAGGTTCGTGTGTAGCTAAGGTAGGGCAAGCTGCCCCAAAGGAGCTACAACTTAGAACCCTACGGCAATATTCAAGGCCTGGCTACGGTTCGTTTTGCCATGCGTCACTTGACTGGGCCTGGCTCCTACAGGTATGCTGATTTGGGGTGTAGCAAGATCCATCCCCCCCAACCCTGGTCGAAGAGGTTTAGTCTGTGCCCGCAGCTGCTTGGCTCCATCGGATCCGGAGCTTCGGGCGAAGGGTACACGACCCTCGTCACAGCCCAGGTCTTGAGAATAAGAAGCCTGAACCGTAAGCCCCTAAACCCTATGCCTTGGGATGTCCCTCTTATGCTAACAGTCCGTAATAGGGATTCTAGTACCCCCTATAATCCCCATTAAGAACTGTTAGTACAAGGGGGAGCATCCCAACCCATACCACCCAACCCTAAGCCTTTTCGTAGATTCTTCCCGCAGCCATGAGAGACCTCGAGTCGCTGGTGGCCGAGGCGTCGCGGAGCTGCGCGAAGCTCGTGCCTAGGCCGAGCTTCGGGCGTGTCTCCAAACACTTAAACTCCCTAAGCCTTGTAAACCCGAAACATTCAAAGCACTGCCCCTAAATGCCTTAAAGTCTCTAAGCCCCAAGCCTTTCACCTCAAATTATAGCCTCTCCTAGCCTATAACATCCCCACATTTTTCTGTGCCGTGTGAAATCCGCATACTCCACATCTTCTCCTGACTCCAAAACCCCAATCTTTCGACCCTTTTCCGGACCACAAGCCCTTGGACCCGTAAACCTCAACTCTACACCCTGGCTGAAACGCGGCAAGAAAGCGCACTCGTTGAATCCAAAGTCTGAACCATCCTACACCTGTTGCCTATCTGCTATTCCCTCAACCCCTCTACAACTCTAAGCCCGAGTGTGCCCGAGGATGCGCAGATGCGAGCGACACGGGCTGCCTACGACCACATGAACAGCCTGGTACACCAGCAAGTCACGTGTCAGACTTCACAGGTTTTGGGCATTTTTGTTTAAGGAAGCTCTTTTTGCAGTTTAGGTCTAACAGGTTTCAGGGAATACGTGAAAACAGCCCCAATAATCCTAACCCCTGGAGGTGATGGAAAAGTCCCCTATATAGGGCAGGGTGGGTCAAGGCTGACACATATACCCCCAAACACGAAACCTTAAATCCTAACCGCCCCCCCCCCCCCCCCCCCCAAGCTCTCCAAAGCCACTTTCCTAAAAGCCAAAGACCCTAAACCCTAAAGCCCCTTCAACCGAACCCTGACAACCCTAACCCCTAGACCCCCCCCCAAGCCCCTCAAGCCGCCCTCAAGCCCCCCTCAAGCCCCCCTCAAGCCCCCCTCAAGCCCCCCTCAAGCCCCCCTCAAGCCCCCCAAGCCCCGCAAAGCCCCTCAGCTGGCCCTGAAGCTTTGGGTAATTACATGGTCCCTTAATATGGACCCTTAAAAGGGGACATACATCTCTTATATACCCTATACAAATTAAGCGCCCATACATCAGAACCCTTTAAGGAAGGTAAAGGACCAGATTAAGGGCCCATGAAACTACCCTCAGACTGAATGGCTGTTAGCGCAAGGTCTGGACAGGAGCACTGCAAGTCGCCGGGGCCGGCAAAGACTCCAAGCTGCAGCTGAGGGTTTAGGGTTTAGGTTTTAAGGTTTAAGGTTTTGGGTTTAGGGTTTAGGGTTTACTTGGTTCATGGGTACTTGTGCAGCCTAACTACAAGCCTGCTTAACCTGCTGAGCGGACTTAGGGGCAAATAAGTACTGTTATTATTGGGTTGTAAGTACCCTGTACCTCCAAGTAGGGCTAGAGGCTGAGGGTTGAGGGGTGCGGGTGTAACTAGTGTTTAAGGTTGTCCTGAGGTCCTTAGGTTTTAGGGTTTAGGGTCTGGATTCAGGGTTCTTTGCCCAGCTTGTAAGAAAAAGGCTTTGCCTCTTGGAGACGACAGGTGCAAATGTTCCTACCTGCAACTTCAACACAAAACTGCCATAACCAATCCAACCTCCTCATGCCCTTGAACCCCGAACGCCTCAACCCCCCCAAACCCTTAAGTTCCCTCCAAACACAAAACCCCCCCAAAACAATCCTAAAGTCCTCGATAACGTTCATGGCCCTTCCAAGTGCGCTTCCAGAGGGCTCCGGACTCCAAGTAGCCAGAATGTTAAGCCCTAGATCCTAAACACTGCAAGAATCTGCGGGTCTGTAGGAGTGCACGTGTTGAGCTACTTTTCACCCGAAACCCGAAGCCCTAAGAAGAACTGATATACGAGGTGATGCTTATGCAAGGGTGTCTTGAAGTCCCTGGGAACTAAAATCTCCAACCCTCCAGGGTTTTAGACTTTAGCGTTTCAGTGTCTTCGGGTTTTTAGGTTTCAGGTGGTAGAGAATTTCTCGGCACAGTTGCAACTACCCAAGACTCCGGGCCCTGGATGCCCAAACCCGAAGCCCCCAAGCCCTGCGAAGAGGTCGAGCCAGTTTGCTCTCCCGAGCCGCCGGATGGGCTGGAGGTGTATCTGGGCTGCAAGGGCCCCCTTTGTTACGTTGTTGGCGCCCGAAGTTCTGCTGGTTTTAGGGATGTGGGGCTGCGCAGTCACTGGGCTCACAGGGCTTTCTGTGGGGTTTCCCCGAAGCCTTGACCAAAGCCTGGGCCCTAAACCGCACGAGCCGAAGCGAATGCCCTCGGGGATGGCAGGAATCGGGGGGAATTTGGGCTGAAGCATGATGTTATCAGAAGGTGAAGATTCCCTCCAGGCATACTTGTTGCTGCAAGGTCCGAACCCTAAATACCAAACCCTGAAGCCTTCGACTCCTGAGGAGGACGAACCCTGTGGTTGGGCGGCACCTTGTGTCAACTCGAGCGCGAGGCGAGCCGACCTTCTGAATTGTACAGAGGTTTTTCCTGCCATCGCATCCCCCCCAACGCCCAAACAACCCCGGCTTTTGGATAGGAGGTAGTGAAAGGTTGAGGGCCGGGAAGGATGTTGATAACCTTAAACTTTAACCTCTTGTTGCATACAATGCAAATATTTGTCCGGAGAGGTGGACCTTTCGGAAACTTGACGGACAGTTTACAGGTGGGTCGTTCCTGTTTATCAACCTCTTATAAGCAGTGTAGATATATGCTTCCTACAAGCAGACCTATCCACCTGAAACGGTCCAAAAGCGGGATCAGAACAAAAACCCCAAAACCTTAAACCAAAACCCCTGACCCCCATCAACCCCCAGACGTAAGCGCGTTTCAAGAAATCACCTCTCCAACCTCAAGGAATATGACACCCAGATGCGCATGAAATTAGGTGTTCAGGTTCTAGGGGCTTAGGGCTTCAAGAGTCGAGGGGCTGGAGGCGTTCATCCTCGGCGCACCTGGTCCCTTAAGCCCCCCGAACAGCGCTTGTGGCTTTTCAGGCTTCGGGCTTTGCAAGGTCGAGGCTTGGCCCTCATTACACCTTTCATTAACTTGAGGTTTAGGGGTTTCGGCTTTAGGGTTTATGGAAACTACAAGTAGCCAAAACGCTAAAAGCTAACCACAAAGCCCGATGCCCTAAGACCCCCAATCGACGTCTTGCGGCAGGAGCGGGCGAAACACTGCTGCAGGAGCGCCCCTGCACCCGGACAGCAGCCAGAGACGCCGCTTCTTCTTGCCTGAAGTAAGATTCTGAAATGATAGGGTTTAGGGGCTATGGTGTTGAAAGCTTAGGTTCGAATTAAGGTTTCGGTTCCATGCAGCAGGGGTTTGCTGCTTGAAGCTTGACACACGCCACCAAAATCTTGCAATATGGTAGCAAATGAGGTTAGTTCTTGTTTGTGGCAGCTTAATGTAAGTTATTGTGGTAGCTTACTTATTACTGTAGCCTGAATCTAAAGTTCTTGTCTTTTAGGGATTTAGCTCTTGGTTTAATGTTTAGAGCTTTGAAGCACATCACCCACTGACCCAGGGCGTCAGTCCAAGCTAAGGGGTCAAGGCTTGGTTTTAGTCCTCTCCCCCCTCCCCCCCCCAACAAAAAAACAGAAACAAACACAAAAAAGGAACTACATTGAAGTCATCAGACAAGCAGTCGACGCCCAATAAGGTTCCACCCCATTGTAGCGATAGTTGCCCTACGCATAGGCTCGGGCGTAAATGCCCATGAACCTCCAAGTGCCCTTCTGGCCTCTGTTTGGGTCCGGTTCCCTTGTCAACCTAATTGCCTTCAGTAGTCACGAGACCCCCAAGTGAAAAACCACTGAACCTAAGCCCTACACTCTGATCTGCGGAACATGCCTCTCGTGCGTCTCTAGTGGTTCGCAGTTCAGCCACTTGGAGGGCTAGTAGGGCAGCTATGTGTTTTCGCAAGATTTTGGGGTGCCCTTTTGAGGGTCCTACAATAACTAGTGATACTCATGGTAGTTTGGAGCCGTGCTTAGAACTAAACCCTGGGCTAGCAGCCCCAAACAAAAACAACCCTAAACCCCAGACTACCCAGGCATCATACTGCCGTGGCAGCTACTCGCCTCGGCTTCGCGGACAGACTGGTTTGAGGCTCGCTCCCCCTGCAATATGTTGGGAGTTTCTTAGGGTGAATTGTTTGGGAGGGTTGTGGTTTGTGTAGGGGGCTCTGTGGGTTTGAGGGACTTGGGGCTTCAGGGTGTTTGAGGGTTTGTTGGAGGGTTCGTTGAAGGCTTCGGGGTTTTCATGGCTAGAGGTTTCAGAGCCTAGGGGCTTTAAGTGTGTGTTTTGTTTCGGGTTTTGGGGGTTGAGGGTCTGAGGATTCTAGGATTTAGAGTTGGGAGTTGGGGGGCGCCCTAAGTGCAAGGAATCCAGGCCGATGAATCCCAGATCTCGGTCCCCCATGCATAATCTCGAACAAGGAGCGACAAAGGGTGTTGAGGGTGCTCCGGGTCCCCCATGATATGTGGTGAAATGTGGGGGTTTACGAAAATAGGGGACCCCTAATGTAGATCCCCAAAGAGTAGGTACCCCAAATTTCGGAAACCCCCATGTGTATCTGGGTAAAGTTTGCTCACTTTGGCGGTTGCAGTGCGAAAGTCCCGGTGGTAAGCTCCACACCCCCAAACGTCGAACCTAATATAGGGGTCGGAATAATTACTAATAGCCTTCCCTTAGGATTCCTTTATATTTATACTATCATAACCCACAAAACCCGAATCTAATTATTAAGGCCCACATATGAACCGGTTGTTGGTTCGCCAATGTGTCCAGGCCTTCCGAGATCTCGATGTGAGCCAGCTTCGGATGCTGAAGGAGCCGCCTAAACCCCTTAGCCCTAACCCCTAAATCCCGAATCCTAAGCCTTACATTTTGAACCCTAAGCCCTAAACCCTGAATATCCTAAACCCTAAAAAGTCCTAAATCCTAAGCCCTCAACCCTCTGCAACCCTCTCAACCCTTAAACTCTCCACCGCTTAAACTCCGAAGCAAGGACTTCGAAGCCAACCCTGGAGCCTCCTGCGCATCGGAGGTGCTTCCAGGGACTGCGAAAGGAGGTATTATGATGATGATGATGATTATGATGATTATTATTTATTATATTTTTTTTTTTGGGTGGGGGGGTGGGGGGTGGGGTTTAGGGTTTGGGGTTTAATCAGGGGGGTTTTGTGGGGTTTAGCGGGGTTTCTGTTAGCGTGATATATTTAGGGTAGGCAAAAATGCGGCAACACTTCCTCTAAACCCAAAGCCCCAAAACCCTGAACCCTAAACTCATCCGAAATCCAGCAAATGGTACCGCAATCTAGAGGGCTGCCAGATAAGGAGTCTTCCTGAGCTGAGGAGGAGACTTCAGGGTGGGATTAGGGCTGAGGAGGGCAGTTGGAGGTTTAAGAGCCTCAGGGAATATCTTGAGGTCGTAAGCCCTACACCCGGCTCCGAGGTTAAAACCTAATGTTGGTGATGATTTCGAACCCAGGCTGCCCTACTTACACCCACCTCTAAGTAGTCCCCAAGGCTGCCAAATGTCGGGAGTTTTGGGCTCTTTGGCCTTTGTGGCACACTTAGGCCATACAGGCCTCAAACCCAAAACTCCAAACCCTAAGCCCTAAGCCCAAGCGCGAAACCCTTAACCTAAAGCTTAGACTCTATGGCTGAAGTTGCTGTTTTCCTTTTTCGATTCAAGCGGTGCCCGGCCGCCCAAACCTGGAGTCGCTCTGCGGAGGCGCTCAAGTTCCGGCTCTCGGCGGCCGAGGTGGCGGAGATTTCGGCGCAGCTTGGCACACGACTTAAGCCAGGAGGTGACCGAAGGGGTACACGCAGCTCCGTGCCCAGCTAGACCAAAAGTCACCTGCGTATAAACTACGCAAAAAGACTTCTTCATCTCCCCTATTGCTCAACCCTGGCTATCAACGGTTCTTCGAAGGCAAAGCTGGTTAAAGGCCTTTATGGTTGGATGTTAAATAAGCCGAAAACCGGGCTTCGATTTCGGGCTTTAGGATTTCAATGAGCTAGGGCTTAGGAGTTAGAAGACTGTTCGGATCTAATCAGGGTTTAGGTTCAGGTCTTAAATTCCTGACATCCCTGCGTGCCTAGTTGAAGTCCGAAACCCTGCTTGTAACCTTAAGGGTAGTTCGGGGATTCTTCAAAAAGTGTTTTGCGTCTTGTCTTGCTTTTCAAGTGAATGACGTGCCAGACTTCTACTTCTTTGGCTGGCATAACGTTTCTGGTTTTGTAGGTATGACAAGAATGGAAACCAGCAGGTTTATGGTCAGTTCTCTCACATTGATGGTCCCTCTCGCTGTTTTCATTCGGCCCCCTGCGTTCAGGGCACCCGAACAGGGACCACAATCAAGAGAACCGACCAAACCTCATTCAGGTTCCGGGTTGGGGTTCCTAAACATGCCATAACCCCATTGTAAGGCTTCAGCAGGGCCGAACCTTCCCCCAGGAAAGAGGTGATCGCCGAGGATGCACTCTTGATGTTCCGGCAGGCGGGAAACCTGGGATTTCAAGAGCCCCAGAATTCGGATGACATGTTTTTAAAAGAAGGATCGGTGACAAAAGGGAGGTGGCGCAAACATCTTAACTGTTGACCCACATCCTAGAAGCCCTACGAACCCTAAGCCCCAAATCCCCCCCCCCCCCCCCCCAAACAGCCTGGAACCCCTAACAAAGCCCGAAAGGAGCAAGTACCAGGTCTGCCGGGTAAACGCACAACGCTTCGGCTTTGGCGCCGGCCTCTTTCAATCGGCTTCAAAGCTCACGAGCCCCGGATCAAAAACCCCAAACCCCTAAGCCCTGGAACTTGTTCATCCACCGTCAAGGGTTCTCGTTTAGGACGTCGATTCAGGGTTCAACATTTGGGTTTAGGGTTTGCGATTCTGGGGCTGAGGGAGAGAGTAGTCAGGCGGACGATGACCAGTTGTGGCAACTGTTGCTGTGTGGAGGAACAGCCGCTTCAAACCCTAAAGCCTAAACCTTGTTTATGGCAATGGTTTGTAGGTTTAGGTTTGGGGCACCCAGACCCTACAGCCCGAAATCCTTTCGCTGTGCGCCAGCTGAGGCATTCGTGTGCACCCAACTGCCGCGTTTTTGAAGATGGAAAGCTTCTGGCGGTCAGGAGCTATGGCCCGGGACCGCTGAGCTAAAGCCTCGACGTTGAACCCTCAGCCCAAACTCTACAACCCGAAAGCCCTGGACCCACTCAGAAGCCTTTCAGGCTTCCCTGGATTCTTTCTTGAACAAAAGAGGGTGCCCTTTCTATCGTTGCTACTCGTGCTGGGAAGAGTTCCGTTTCGGGTCTCGCGGTTTTAGGGTTTAGGGTTTTGGGGCTTTTCGGGCATTTAGGGGCTTTAGGGTTTTTAGGTTTTTTTCGGGCTCAGCGGTAACGGCTCCTGGTCTCTTGGACCCAAACTGCAAGGCCGAGCGGCTGTGTGTCCTTGAAGTACGGTTAGAGCTTTGGGTTTAAGGCCCACACCAAAGATCCCAAAATCTGAAGCCCAATACGCTAACGCCTGAACCCTAAACCTTACATCTCACCCCAACAAGCTCTGAAACGTAAAGGCCCTAACCAGAACCAAGAAGGAGCCTGAAGCAGCTCCGAGAAGGCGAAGAGCTGACAATCAGCTCCCTGACAGGAAGGGGCAGAGGTTTCGGGTTTGGGGTTGGGGAGTAGGAAAGTTAAACCCTAAAATTCCGGAAGCACTAAGCTCGGACCCTCGAATCTACGTGGGCAGCATGGTTCGTTCTGTTCGTTCTCAGAAGCGTTAGTCAGAACCCTTCATTGCAGTTTCTACTAAAGGCTGGGTTACAGCATTCAGCCCTAAGCCACAAGCCCAAAAAACCCATACCCTCAACCCAAACCCCCTTCCGGCATACTGAGGCTACATTGCCGAGGAACGGCTTCTTCTGCAAGATGCCCAGGCATGCTGCGCAGGGCCTGAAGGTTCAGGCGTTAGGCTCGGGGTCTTGGGGTTCTGGGGCTTTTTATGCGATTGAGTGATTCCTGGTTCTTGCGTTTGGGGTAGCTGCGTTAGGGCCGCAGGCCCGTTGCTTTTTCAACTTTTTTGGATGCGGGGGGTAGGCGGGAGTCGGATTTCGGGTGTATCCCCTTCTGAGGACAGGCTGGGCGTGAGCTGGCAGGGGCGAGGGCGCCCGAAAGTACCCACAAGAATAGCCCCGAGGCCCTCCCAAAAAGGGCATACAGGGCCGACACTGGGGAAGTCTAAAGTGGGAAGTTTAGGTTTAAGTTTCGCGGAAGTTTAGGCTTGAGGGTCTATCAAAGCACTTCTTGCACAGGCGCGGAGGAGGTATCTCTGGCAGAAGCATTGCTTCCACTGCTGCTGACGCCGGGCTGTACTTTAACCCTTTCATTCCCAGCCCATTTTTGGTGTGTTTGTTTGCAGGGTTTAGGGCTCCATAGGGCTTTGGGGTTTCGGGTCTAGCGTCTAGAGGGTTTAGGGATAGTCTTCGGCCACAATCCCAAGCCCCAGAAAATCTCACACCCTCTAGACCCCCAAACACTAATCCCGGCCTTGGCGGGCCTGGGAAGCCTGCAAAAAACGACAGCCGGCTGATGCTGATGATGCTCGCCTTGGCGGGCCTTGGTGGGTTTTGGGAGCACTGCGGGCCTGTGAAGCCTGAAAAAACGACAGCCGGCTGATGCTGATGATGCTCGCCTTTGCGGGCCTTGGTGGGTTGTGGGAGCACCGCGGGCCTGGGAAGCCTGAAAAAACGACAGCCGGCTGATGCTGATGATGCTCGCCTTGGCGGGCCTTGGTGGGTTTTGGGAGCACCGCGGGCCTGAGATGCCTGAAAAACGACAGCTGGCTGATGCGCCTTTGCGAGCCTTGGTGGGTTGTGGGAGCACCGCGGGCCTGGGAAGCCTGAAAAGACAACAGCCGGCTGATGCTGATGATGCTCGCCTTGGCGGGCCTTGGTGGGTTTTGGGAGTGGGAAAAAACTTGGCGGGCCTTGGTGGGTTTTGGGAGCAGCGCGGGCCTGAAAAAACGACAGCCGGCTGATGCTGATGATGCTTGCCTTTGCGGGCCTTGGTGGGTTTTGGGAGCACCGCGGGCCTGGGAAGCCTGAAAAAACGCCAGCCGGCTGATGCTGGTGATGCTCGCCTTTGCGGGCCTTGGTGGGTTGTGGGAGCACCGCGGGCCTGGGAAGCCTGAAAAACGACAGCCGGCCTGCTGATGCTCGCCTTGGCGGGCCTTGGTGGGTGGTGGGAGCACTGCGGGCCTGGGAAGCCTGAAAAACGACAGCCGGCTGATGCTGATGATGCTCGCCTTGGCGGGCCTTGGTGGGTTTTGGGAGCACCGCGGGCCTGAGATGCCTGAGAAAACGACAGCTGGCTGATGCTGATGATGCTCGCCTTGGCGGGCCTTGGTGGGTTTTGGGAGCACTGCGGGCCTGTGAAGCCTGAAAAAACGACAGCCGGCTGATGCTGATGATGCTTGCCTTTGCGGGCCTTGGTGGGTTGTGGGAGCACCGCGGGCCTGGGAAGCCTGAAAAAACGACAGCCCACTGATGCTGATGATGCTCGCCTTGGCGGGCCTTGGTGGGTTTTTGGAGCACCGCGGGCCTGGGAAGCATGAAAAAACAACAGCCGGCTGATGCTGATGATGCTCGCCTTGGCGGGCCTTGGTGGGTTTTGGGAGCACTGCGGGGCTGGGCAGCCTGAAAAAACGACAGCCGGCTGATGCTGATGATGCTCACCTTGGCGGGCCAGCACCGCGGGCTTGGGAAGCCTGAAAAGACAACAGCCGGCTGATGCTGATGATGCTCGCCTTGGCGGGCCTTGGTGGGTTTTGGGAGTGGGAAAAAACTTGGCGGGCCTTGGTGGGTTTTGGGAGCAGCGCGGGCCTGAAAAAACGACAGCCGGCTGATGCTGATGATGCTCGCCTTTGCGGGCCTTGGCAGGCCTTGGGAGCACCGCGGGCCTGGGAAGCCTGAAAAAGCGACAGCCGGCTGATGCTGATGATGCTTTGGTGGGTTTTGGGAGCACCGCGGGCCTGGGAAGGCTGAAAAACGGGAATTTCAAGGGGAGCGCAGCCCCAAGGCCCAATCTTAGCTGGACTTCCCTCAACTATCTCTCACCTTTTAAGCCCCAAGCCTTTTAATCATCAGGCCTAAAGCCTAAACGGCACAGCCACGTAAGGCACCCGGTGTCAGGGTCCGGACACTGCACGGCGCCTGTGCTGCGGGCACTGCGGACAGGAGCTCGATTTGAGGAGGCTACCCCTGTTGATGTGTTTAGGGGTTAACTTCAGCGGCTCAGGGCTTCGGAGGCTTTGGTGGTTCAAATCTAGAGGGAAACTTTTTGGGGGGTAATTACCTACAACCCTACTTACTTCTCATGAACCTTCAAAATGGCAGGGTGAGGGTTTAGAGTTCGGACTTTGGGGAGGTGTACTACAGTGCTCCGATCCCAGAATGTTGGGAAGTCAGGCCCTTGCAAACGGAGGATGCTGCAAAGCGGTGTCGAAGCTTGGCGGCGATGGCATGGTCAGGGCGAAGCTCACCGTGTTTGGGGGTTTACGAAAACAGGGGAGCCCTAAAATAGACCCCCGAAATAGCAGGATTCCCTTATAATCATGAGGGCCCCAATAAGGTACCCCTAACTTCGGAAACCCCCGTTTGGGCCCAAGCATTGAAAACTGAACCCACCATTGGCTGAAGCGTCCTGAAGATTGTCACCCCTGGAAGGCATCTGATAAGGCGCGGTGTTTGGAGTTGCGGGTGAACCTTCTGCCCTAGGGTTTGTGTAGGTTCAAGGTTTAGGATTTAGGGTTAAGGGTCTAGGGTTTAGAATCAACACCCGTGTCTATAGGCTCAGGGTTCAACATGATTACAGCTTGACTTAGACCCATAGACCTCTTCAGCGCGATCCTGTGCAGATTTATCAACTCGAAGTTATCCTACATCGTGGCCGCTAGACCCTCGACCCTAAATCCTGATAGGCCCACATTCGTGAACTCAAGCAAACATGACCCAAGCAGAATCCGAAGCGCAGCTTTTCGAAGCTGCCTTTTGTTCACAGGATACGTAGACTGCTCGCGTGGGAGAAGTTGGAAGATGGAATGACGAAAGCCCCCGAACGCAAGGAGCCTTGCGCCCGGCCTCCGCAACTCAATATTCTCCGTTCTGAACACCTTACACCGTTCTGTGCCTGCAAGGCAAGCCGGGCAGAGGTCCTAAAACCCTAAGCCCGAGATCCAACTGAAAACCAAACCCTCAGGTGTGAAAGACAAGAATGATATTTCCCCTAGCGTTCATTCTCTCCATTTATGATTAGGATGTTTATTGTTATTCTCTGAGCGTGCGAAAACAGAGCACGCCCGCGTAACAAGAACTATATTGAATGGCAAAATGCTGTACAAAAAGCGTGCGTCGTGTTCACGCGTTCACTGCATTCACTGTTTTATTTGCCCGTTACCTTTTCTCACTTTATGCTCTCACCTTTGGATTTGGGACATAATTTTGGCATAATCATCGGTGTTTCCTTCAATCGTGGTCTAACTGCGTGATGGAAACCTCAGTGAAGAAGATACACGACTGGTGAACCAAAACTGGGGCTTCGTGAGCTTCGTGACAGAACAACCTTACCCTTGAGACAGGACTTTGAAGAGGAACTAGTGGAGGTAATACTGGAATGAACAAGTCTAAGAACCTGTTATACTTGGTCTTACAGGTGCGGTCAGAGAACACTATGGAGTGAATCCGGTGAGCAAGGACCAAGGCTGTGGAACAAGAGTGAGAGAGATGAATGTTACGTCCTAAAGGACACCATCTTTGTAGGCTTAGTAATGTCGCTTCAACAGCAGCTGCAATTGCTTGGCGAAGCAACAGGCATTTCCCATTCACTTCGTATGAAGAGCTGTAAGACTCAGCTTCTCTGTGAGACAACTTGCTCAACTTGTGCCTAAAAGTTAAATCTGTCCATGTTTGCCTAAAGCTCTAAAAGGACTCTTGCAGGAGCTTGCCAAACCAAACCACGCTTACGTGCCTGAGGCAAGCTTAGCTCAGCTGAGTCAGCTGGTAAGAAAACATGCGCAAATGGGTTTCCTTGATGTGCTGTTTCCTCAAAGCCGAAAGTTTCGATGATCTACGACAGTGAAGTCGCAGAGCGTTTTTGTGTT